CTCGCTTACGTGCAAACTAATATGTTGTTTTGAGGCAAGTGGTCTTGTGTGGTATTTCACACGTTGTGGCTCTTGGTAGGCGATGAAGTGCAGCGGATGAGATACCCACGTCTGCTCTGCTGCGCTTCTGGGGGTTGCGGCTCTATTAGTTTTGGCGATTATCGGTTTTTCTCGAAGCCTGTGCTGGGAATGATGTCACGATGCAACGGTAGGATGTTGAAAAGTACTTTGTAACCCATTTCCCTCTCTTCTGACGTTGTGACAGTCTTCGACTTTCGCCTCTCATTTCTGTTCGAGTTCTGCCTTCCCAAGCCCGTAGCGCCATGCTCGGGAGGCGGACTTGGAAAAGGAATCTGCCACTTTGGTGGCTTCCACCTCGGATAAGGGCGTATCTGGTTCATAAAGCGAACTTTCCATATCTTTCATTTTACATCTTTTTCATGCAGGACATGTACAAACATCGTGTCTAGCAAACAGCGCTAGTGTAGGCATACCTCAAAGCGAGCCATCAACGATCATTTTCTCTTTTCCTTTCCTCTCCCTCTCTATCTCTACACATGAAAACATAAAAAATTATTCTGTTCGGGAAAGGTTTTCCTGTTAGAACTCAGTTTCATTTTGCGCGCGCGTTGAGCTTTTGGTTTGTGGAGATGCCGAAACGCTGTTGCGATCAACTGTACAGGATATCTGTACTGCGCTGGATTGTGTACCGCGGACATGCATCTGATGTCGTGCCCTAGCCGTTGGATTATTCAGTGGATAGAATCTTCCACGCTCTCCGAGGGCGGACGAGAGGATGAATACTAGAGGGAAAATACTCTCAGATGAGAAAGATCTTAATATTGTTGGCCGAGACCGAAAGAGACGCGTTATTTTTCTGCATTTCACTTATGTTAAAACAACAACACTGACCAGAGTGGCTCCAAATAGTAAAAGAAAACAGCAATCAGGTGAAATCGGAGATTTACTTCTGATTGATCGAAAAGTGCTTCAGTTCTGTCTCGTAAACAAGGCAAAACTAAGAGTGAAGCACAGATCTGAAGCAAGAATAAGAAAACGGTGCGCAACAGCTAAGGAAATATGCAGATGGCGGGGGGGGAGAGGTGTCGAGGAGAAACTGAGCTCTCTCCTTTGAAACTCGGGGTTATCAGCTGAGTCGGGTCTTGATTCTATCAACGTGAAAAGAGAAAAGCGCGAACGAAGAAACGGCGAGCTTACGGTGGGGAGAAAACTGGCTTTATACACTCCTTGACACCTTTAATACTCAACCATCAGTGGTACATACACAACCTAAGCTTATTCTCCCAGCTGGGCACCGAATTCAAGAAAAATACTTCTTTTCGTTTTACTGATCGGTGAGCCCAAACTCCCTCACGGATAGCTCCAACACCGTTGAACTCCGTGCGCAGAGAATAACAAATGTGTCAAAGAGGATTGTATGCACGGAGGCAATGACAGTGACTGGTCTGAAACAGCAATCTCGATAGGCAGGAAGCGCTCGTTTCTTTTTGTCTTTACTTCCCCGTGGCTGGGTAATAATACATACGGTCAGCTTGTTAGTCCTAGAATGAAGTACTTCCTCTCTCTCGCGAACTCTTTGTGCAAAAAATGCCTCTTTGGAACACGATTCTGTGCTTCACAACAAACGTGTCCAGCCGTGCTCAACCTATTTCTTTTTCTCTATTCAGATCTCGCCTTTTTCCCCCACGCCTTCCCTCTCCAAGACACTGGATTTCTTTTTGAAGTATCGCAAACGACAAAAGGTTCATTAGCTGTAGCTACGCACACCTTCTACCTAATATGAGCATATATTCGATTAACCAACCCAAATCCAACATCTAACATGAAAGTAAGATCAAACTGCCCTGTGCTGCTTGTGCGTGCCGTGCGACTAGTGTCTTGCGGTCTTCACATTTTTTACCTCTGTTGAGGTGCTTTGCGCTCTCTCCTAAAGAAATTTGTTATTTGTGAGGTGTACAAGCATACAAAGCCACTTTATTCCTCTTCTTCGATCGTGTTTAACTGATTTGCAGCTATTTCTTTTGTAACTTGATGCTCGGAACTCGTTGAAGTGGAACAAAATGAGAAAAATGAACCCAAAGGGCAGAAGCACCGGGAGAAGATGGACTGAAGTAGCACTCAACAAGCAAAAAACGCTGGTGTGTACTTTCCAAGACTCTTATGCTTTACAAATAAGCTTGCAAAGGCGCAAAAATTCTGCTAGGTTCAAAACTACAAGTTGCATTTTTGCTGTCATGTGAACTATGTTTTTCACGATTCTCATTGATACTTTTCGAAATCACTTAAAAACGACTAAAAAGTAGAATGAGGATGCGGTTGAAGGCATTCGAAGACATTCTTCTCTTTTGTTATGTAGCGAAGAGTTTGGAGCTCTACTCCAAGCGTCTGACATACAAAAAGAGTTCTCGATAAGTTTTAGTAGCGGCGCTTCATTCTTCTTTTTTCTTCTGCGTAGAGTCTTACATTATTGTGAAAGCAGAACCCCATTTCTTTTCAGTAAGCACAGGCGTCGACACCCTCTATTTTTATGCTGTTTTATACACTGAAACTCCTAAAGATAATAGCAGAACCTCAATTGTTGTGTCGAGTATTTTTCCTTAACGATCGAAGAAACCTCCACTTTCCCATCCGGACGGTACAGGGAAAGGGACGCAGAAGAAAGAATTGAAAAGAGAGTTTTCCATCTGAGGTGCGAAATAATATACAAGAAAACTCTGCATTTTGAGCCTTACAGCAGTCCCTTGGAGA